CACAACCTCTTCCCCCTGTCGTCCAGGATGTCTCTTGCATGATACAGATAGAAATGGGCACACCTGCCTCTAACTGTTTTCAAGGAATCAACTTTTTCTATTGTGTGGCAGAAGGGAAGGCGGGGGCAGATCTACGTAAGATATAAATGGTTCTATCAGTGCTTCTCTGAGAGGTTTTTAAGGTAGCATCTTTCAGGTTTGTTTTTCACAATCAGATAACCATAGATTATCTGTCTGGCACTGAAAGATATAAGAAATTTGCCTACAAATTCCTGTAGCCTTCATGTGCCCCCAGCCCAGTGTCAGTTTCCAGGGTTTGTGTTGCCATCAGATTTTGAGCTAAGACTTATTTTTTAAAAAGGCTTTCTGAAGATTTAAAATAAAGATTAGGTGTATGGCTTGGCTTTGATTTAACTTTTTTCTTATATGATTTAATATTTCATAGTATTCCGACCCAACACTGATCTCATTTCTGATGACTGTGCGTTTAAATTAACTGAGAAAATAAAATCAAGGTGGACCATAACTAGAAAGGTACTAGAACATGATGTGATTTAGTGGATGCAACAGAATGTTTTGTAAAATAGTTTATGAAAATGAATGAATACAGAATGGAACAAATCTGTAGCTTTGGTGTGTACGATCTCAGCTATTTCTGAAGTGTCAAAAAGGAGGTTTAAGAGCATCAAAACTTTTCTAATTTCTTAAAGAAAATTTTGAAACCTAAAGAATATTGGAAAAAGTACACATGAGGCACAATAAACTTCAAATTATGCATGTAGAGTCCCAAAAGATGGAGACCTAAAGCAAACCATTATAATATAAAACTTTAGTAAATGTATATATTAAAAAAAAATTAAGACCTGGTTAAGTTGCTAATACAGTTTTATTTCTTTTACAGGTGACTCCAATACAGTCTTACAGTGTAAAGAAGAATTCATTGAAATGAAAGATGTTTTTTCTGTAAAACTGAAACGTCGTCGTTTTGTAGGACAGAAAAAAGGTGGCACGTTATTAGGTATCACACTTTTTGTATGCCTGAAAAAAGAAGACAATAAGCTCAAGGATTCTACTGTCAATTTTAATAATTTAAGTGAAGACCATTGCCATGAATGGTTTAGATGTCTGAAAGAAATTCTGAATGGTAAGCAGTTATTTCAGAATCTCTGATTCATACTAACTGTGAGTAATAATTATGCATATGCTAGCTACAGGTAGTGTTGAAAGTAACTTAGCTTTTAAAAGAAAATAATTATTGCCTAGAAAATAATGGTTACATGTTAGTAAGGGATTAATGCAGTTGTTGGAACTTTTTGCTTAATAAATACATTTATAAAATTGCTTATGTTGATTTACTATAAAATTTAAAAAGTCACAAGGCAACACTGAAATAGCAACTACTTTTAGGACATAAACATATTAAAATATGTTGTATAGAAATGTGAATTAGTGTTCCTTAAATGCCAGGGATATATTTAGGCAGGCAAGGTTCTTTGAGTAGATGTGATATCATTTATTAGACCAACTGAGTAGCTGGAAGAGTTCTAGGCAAGCTTTCGGGTGCAGTCACCCTTCTTCAGGCATAGGAGGAATCCAGCTCTTGGAGCTGGTCTAATTAAAGCGTGCCTGCTCCCAGAGCATGTCTATAAACTCTTGATGACAATACAGTAGTATTCCTGATGATAGAAATAAAAGGGCCACATGAGGGGGAAAGTTCAATCACGTTGGAGGTAATGAAATTAGAAGTTTGAGGTTTTGTACCCTAGGGCACCTTGAGATCTGTTCAAAGGTGCCACACAATGCTAGCACTGTTTGGTGTGCAAACATTATTTACAAGATAAACCAAGGGGGCATTTATACACATGCTCTGGGAGTGTGTGTGTGGGGTGGGAAGTGAAAGAGGGGCTTTAATTAACGTGCTTGGAGTATCTTGTGTATCAGCGTTCCTGCACTTAAAAATGGCAGCAGAGTCACTTTATCTAAAGCTTGTCGAATGAGCTTTAGTAAAGTGCCCCTGCCACCATTTTTAAGCACAGGGACACTGACACACAAGATGCTGGAGGCTGCTGGAGCACGGTGATTACCGTGGTCCAGCAAACTTGATTAGTCAAATCTGCTCCGATGCACTGTAATTACAGTGTGTTGGAACAGCCTTGCTGCTCGTGTGTAGATGCCCAAAGGTTTCGAATAGGAATTTATAGTGGACCTGTTGTGGTGTGTCTTAGTTCTTTGTAACAGAAGAATTGCCATATTTTTACTGTAGCCAAAAAATGAGTGAAAACTAACACCTGGCATTTTTAAAGAAATGACTTGAGTCTAAATATGTTTAGAACCACTGATCTGGATCCTGAAAAAAATGTGTAGCCTACATTTGCATTCATCCTGGCCGTGTCATAAAGACCTGGAGGGAAGCACCAAGTCTGTCCATCTCAAGGGATTTTAATATTTTTATTTATATCTACCACATGATTACCTTGTTGCTATAGCTCAGTAGAAATCCAGATGGCAGAGACTTCTTAATTGCACTCAAAGAATAAAGGACCAAAAGAAATTGGTCCTTTTTAGCTGCAAAGTGTATTTATTAAGTAGTTTCAAGATGGGCTAAATATTAGGCTCTTCTGAAATATGAATTTCTCTTCTTGGTTCCAGTTAAAAAAAATAGACTGATATAGTAGATACGTAGTCATGACAAGAGGTATGTGTAGATGTTACATTTAAGTACTGATCTGTGTAGACATTCAGGGATGTTAAATTGGGCAAAAAATGGCTGGCCCAATCTAACTTAGTTCACTTTTAACTTAAATTCTGTACACATTCTATTAAATGTCTGTATATGTTCAAAGCATGGCTCTGGGGCTGGGAAAGCCTAGATACTCTCCCCAACCCTGGGGCTGAACTCTTCCTACATCTCTGATCCTGACCGAGCTAGTCCCCTTATTCTCCACTTCCTCCCTCCCCCCCCCCCCCCCGGACAAACAACAACTCCCCCCCCCCCCCGGGAACCAACAAACTTCCCCCTGCAGACCTGCCAGTCACCCCGATTCTGCCAACCTGCCTCTGTGGACTCGCCAGCCCTCCCCTATCCCACCCGTCTCACCTCTCACCTTGAGTTATTTAGGTTGGGTTCCCAGCACAGCTCCCAGCACTGATTATCACATGCACAGACTTCTCCTGATCTATGACTACATGGCTAAAAGTAAGCTGCATCACTGTAGATTGGGTGCAGTGAACATCTGCACATATTGAAGGAAATAATCTAACCTTCAACCTTGGAAATCCTTTCAGGAAGTCTAAGCAACTTTTGGGGACCTCCCAGCTGAGAGAAACACAATCTTTAACACAGAAATAGGTGGAAAATCCAAGAAAGGAGATGTTCTTTGGGCCTCTGACCCGGTCCTAAAAAAGAAACAATCATATCAACACCCATTTCTTGTTCTATTTCAGGACACTTTGCCTGGTCCCCTCCAAAATTTTCACAAATAGTAACTGAGTATGAGACTTCTTTTGTAAAAGGCATCCTCTTTGTTATAGACTGTTAAACTGTGGCTTTAACCATATTGTCACAAGGTTAATGTTGAGCTGTACTAGTGGATCTAGATTTTTCTATATTTTAATGTGACCTTTCTTTTAGGAAATTGTGATTCATGGCCTACTCTTGCTTCTATTTAGATTAATTACTGTAGAACAGAACTCTTATTAGTGAAAGCACAATGCTTATATTACCATTTCTGCTTTCAAAATCTCCTATGTTTTTGAAACAGGAGTATTTCTTCTTGAAATTCCAAAGAGTTTTCCTTAATATCTAAATCTGCAAAAATGCCAAGATGCCTGCAGCTTTCAGAATGTCCATAAGGGCAAGGATACTTGAAGAGAGAACAAATGCTTGTGTTTTGCTTTGACAGTTCCCTATATATCCATTAGGAACTGTGATGCCACGTGTTCCCTGATGAAAGCTAGGCTATCCTTTACTCGGGTTGCTTTGGCTCAGCCAACAATAATTCCCCTGCAACTTTCCACTTGGAAATCTCTTGGGCTTGAACAAATCATTCTGTAGCTGTTTTCAGTTCTTCCTCAAAGAATATTTTTATATCCTTCGAGGAGCAAAATCTTCAGAGACAATAGCTCAATGATGGTCTCCCTACACAAATAGGAATCTAAAAGCAATCAATATTTTCAAGATACAATCCTTAAGAAGCCCCTTGTATGATCCATTCAAGAGACGGACCGTATTTTAAAATCCAGGAGACAGACAGTCTCTCATTTTGGGTTCAGTTGATGGAACCGATCTATGCTCATTTAGGTGTTTTGCCATGTGTTACATTCTATAATGTTGATGATTAATCATTATTTTATACCAACAATCTGCTGAAATGTTGAAAAAAGAATATAAGGAAGAAGCAACCTTGGATACATTACGATATATTACCAAAATGACATAAATAAGCAGGACTGCTGAGAACAAAAAGGTGTGCTCAAGCTTCCAGTAGGTGTGGTTGTAGGATCACAGATTAGATTCTATCCTGCCTTGTTGCTGGTGCAGGGGGAGCCTGGGATTGGGCTCCCCCTGCACCAACAAGAAGCAAGATATGCCATACACCTCCAGAGCTGCTGTGGTCTCCCAGCCCCAGTGGTTTCATGAACCCCTGCAGCTGGGAGATCACAGCCATGTTCTGTGGCTGCTAGGATCCAGCTGGATCCTGGCACTGGGAGATATGCTGCAGGGATCCAGTAGCTGCAGGGTGTTGCCAAGACCCAGAGTTGGCAGCTGCTGTGGCCAAGAGTCCCCTCAGTTGTGGTACTCCCAGCCCCGTCTCGGTATGGTAGCTGATGGGGTTCCCAGCCACAGGGGGAGGCCCTGGTACACGTGCAAATTAAAGCTCAACAGCAACCAGCTATAAAGTTAGTACACATTTTCAAGGTCTAACTTTATAGCTGGTTGGAGATTTTTATGGCATGACAGGTACTTTCCATGTGTAGCTGGTCTCAAGGTAATTGCACAGTTAACCAGTTAATTGCAGGATACCTGCAGTGTGTAGAGGGGGCCTTAGATATCTCTTGGTTGGAACTGTTAAAAAGTTTACCCTGAACATTGAGTTTTCATGGCCTTTTTCCTATAGCTTGTCATCAGAATGTTGTGAATGACATCTTTAAGCAAATAATCTGGCGAACATTTCAAAACTTTTTTATGTTTATCTTACAAGGTTTTGCATACTTCAAAATATAAATTTTGTAGACATTTATTCTTTGGGTGCCTTTTTTTTTTAAAGCAAATCTTCAGTATACATTTCTCACTGAAATACGTTAAGTATGTAAATAAACTTTTTCAGTTAAATATTGTATTATTTACGTGGAAGAGTTTTGCTTTTTTATTATTTTATTACTTCCAGCCTGAAGCAAATAAAAAAAACAGGTAGGTTACCAAAGTAACTGTATATATATGTATTAGCAGGTCTTGGTAAACATGTATTTTTATTGGTCAGACTGGCTAAATATTAATAAAAGATGCGTCTGCAATAGCCTAAAATAGATTTAATTATTATTTGGTAAACCTTACTATCTGGCAGAATGTTGAGAGACAGAAGCCTTGCTTTCTGGGAGAATTAAAGAGTAGCGCTTTCCAAAGGGCATAGATGAGTCAACCTAGTTATACTTTAGAGATTATTCTGATGGAGACTCCAACCTATCCAGAAATAGAAAGCACAGTACAGCATTTTGCTCTAGGTTTGTATGTGTGCAGTGGTATGTTTTTGGTTTTTTTTACCAGATGCTTTTTGTCACCTCTTCACCAAAACCCTCCTTTTGAGGAACAGCCTCTGTAGCTTCCAGTATAAGTTAATTACATCTTCCTAGAGGTTCTTTCTACAAGTAGTGCAACTTTTGGAGAGCTTCAGTTTTATGTTTGTCTTTCGTTTAGTCTTGTATGACTCATATTGTAATAGGAGCCGATTCCCTGAATATAATTATTTAGAACTTTGGTTCATAGGGTATCTTTTCATGTTTTCTTTCATGTTTTCAGAGCAGAATATGTACATGCATCATATTTCCCTTTTGAATCAAACAGCATTTTAAAGAGAATGACTTACTGTTTTATTCAAAAATGTAAATGTGAGGAATTAAGGTTTACAATAAATAATATGTTATTCA